TTAGATTTTGAGATACCATAGATTCCATGCAGAAGGTTTTGGTCAGCAAGAGCATTTTCGTAATTATTCATATTCTCATGGGTAATTTGGCTATTTCTAAATATTTTAATATTATTTTTCTAAAAAAAATCATAATTTTTCTAAGAATTATTTCCCCCTCCTGGATCATTTTTATCTTCTTGGCCACCTTGAGATTCTTGAGAAATTAAAAATCCGGGAAGTTATGTAATAATTGGAAAATGTTTCATTTTTCCCCTATTTTTTCAACTTTCATTTGTTATACAATTTGGTAGACATTATACTTCGCCCTATTTTGGAGGCTTAAATGTTCTTGGGCAGCAGTTGGACTAAAACTTTACAACTTTTGTGAAAACCAAATTAATTCGAATTAGGTAGAGAATCGGCGAGACTCGTGTCGATTGATGGGCGGAGAAATGCAGATGGAAGGACACCTGACCCGTCTGATCAAAATTCAAAGAAAATAGGTAGGAATAGCAAGGAGAAATGCAGCTGGAAGGACAGCTGGCCTATCAGCTTCTCCAACCCTCACCTACCCTAATTGATCTAGAGGTTCGACCCCGTCCTTGTGCGCCATTGAGATTGCATTATGTGTTGCCATCAAGAAAATCGCGAAGAATTCTTACGCGACCAAAGATGGAACAGGCGATGTGGGAGTCGATTTAGCTAACTAGTACGTGCCACATGGCCATCCAAGAACGTCTGTCTCATCCCCTTAGGCGCGTCTATATGCCCACGTGGTTTGTGCACGTGGGCCTCCTCTTGCATGCGTGCAAGTAGTGACGCATGTCACTATTGTACTTCTCTAACAGTGTGGCATAGTGATCTTTACACGCTCACGACAAGCCATAAGGAGAAACTCAAGTCACATTCATATCTTTTTGCCCGTTGTGGTTTCATTGGACCTTAGGTAAGGTTTGCGTCAACCGAACACAACTTTTGCTAAATCAAATCTTGTTCGGCCACACACACCACTCATGCATGCATGTTAAATCGTTTGTGACTCTAGGTAACTTGCCTCTACACTAGGCCAAGTCATCTGGCTTTACTTTACCTCTGCATGTTAAATCGTAAACAACATTGCATTTTATCGCCATCTTCATTCCCAACAACACAACTCATGCATTGTGATTCCATCTCATGTCTTGAGACAACTCGGTCATCTTAGCTTACTTGGACACATCCATTTGTTACTGACCCATGTGCCGATCATCTCATCAGGACATACTGAACATCCATTCATCTAGGTTCTCATCGGGCATTGGACTCTCCCGTGTCCATACTAAACCATTTATGGCATTTGTTCTAGATAACAGGTGCATAATCAAACCTCCGACACATGGACTGGGGTGCAATACTGGCACACTCATGTCATCCGTCACTGTTTTTGAAAGACCCTTTTCAAAGGAAGACGCCCGAGATGATCGCCACACTGTGAGATACATATGTGCCAAAGGGTAGTTCACTTAAGTTAGAGGGACCATGAGTGATGGAGAGCTGACAACATGCCTCCCTCTACCGTACATTTTGAGGCAATTTTATTCTTCCTCATGTAGAAATCATTTTGGTGAACAGTCATACAGTATCGTGGAGCACCCGTCCGGTGTTTGATTGACGATAAATTTGGCAAGAATTCATGTTTCATATGGATGGAATTGGCTTGAGAACCACATGTCCAAATTCCCTTTAAAACTCCAATCTTCTTGTCTACTCATTGCCCTTATCTTGCGTATGTCTCATTCTAGCTTTGGTGTCACTCTGTATGGTGTGTTTGGTGATGCACCATCCTCATTGGCCACATCATGGTAATCATTTAGGTCCTCGTGTGGCTGGATGGACACCACTTGAGGGTCGCCACTATGCTTGTCTTGACATGAGGGTCACAACCTACTCTCTTCATAGTATGGTTGTGATAATGCATATGTGTGAGCCTATTTTTGCCTCACTCCACCTCCAATTGTTTGTTTTCCTTCCAGATTTCAATACTTACCCTAATTTTACTTTAATTAGGTAGTTAGATAAATTTTAGAAATTTTAGAAATTTTAGAGCTTCTTACACCCAAAAAAGCTAGCTCTGGAAGGCACATCATCTAAGTATGTAGCCACACAGACTTTATACAAGTAATACTTTTAGGGATCGCTAGGACGACTAATGTGCAAGTATTTCTTATCTTAGGATGATAGAGTGGAGTTTAGGACCCTAATGGACAATTATAGATGAATGACTAAGCATGTTATTGGAAATGGCAAAAATAATCCTAGTATGAGAATAGATTGTGCATGTCTATCAAATACTTTCTACCGTACAAGAAAGGAGGAATGGAAACATGTGATCAGCGGTCCACGTGTTTGATGGATATTATCTCCCCTTTAGCGTGTTTGAATTGCATGTTAAATTGTATGCTAGATTTATGTGAATGCTTGTATAGATTATATGTGCTTAGTTAATCGATCAGAATATCTCTCTAATAAGATTTGCATGAATGTTTAGATTATGTTTTTAGTGCTCTAGGTGATCGATAAAGTATCTCTCAAGTAAAGTATGCATGAATTAGAATAATATTAGAGCGCTAGAGCTAGAGCAATTTATATGTTGACTTAGATTAATATGTTTCCCGTAGACTCTACACCCTAAAATCATGAGCGGCAATTAAAGAACTAGACTTGTGTGCACTCAAAGATTGCATTAACCTCGAAAAGCTAACCTCGAGTGGCTAAGAAACGTGAGATGAGATTTAAACCGCCTAGAGGTCTTAAGAACCTAATAAACCACCACGACACCAAAGAAATTTAAGAGAACTTACGAGACCGCTAACAGTAGAAACGATATCAAGTTAAGGAATTTTTATTGGGTGTAGAATCGGGCCAATGCCGGTAAACTCACTTTGAGAGGGAACAAAAAAACTGTTACAGAAATCTCACAAATTTTTGAAATAAATCTTACACACTAACGACGAGAAAGAGATAAAAGAACACTTTATTTCTCTATTTATCTAAAGAAAAAAAAAACCCACTTTCTCTTGCTTTGTTTTTTTTTTTTTTTTTTTTTTTTTGTTTTTCCTTTTTT